ATATATATATATATATACATGTGTGAATTTTATTTAAAATTTGCATTTGGTTATTTTCTGTTGTATAAAATAAATAATATGTTTAATTATATTTATTATTTTTTTTTATAGTGCTTTTTCTTGTAAAATGTCTAAGCTATTTTCTTTTGTTACCAGAATTGTGATAGATGGCTCACAAATAACGTAGTAGTCCGAGCTGCTTACAAAGGTTATGTTTGCATGGTTATGCGTATGTGAAATATAAAAGGTGCAACATTTGAATTACATCTTAGGTGTGATATTGCGAAAGTAATTTGTATTTAATTGTGTATGAGTTTTAATTTAATAACATTCGAGTGGTAGTATGTTGTTATTAAAATAACTATAGTAACAAAGATCCTAATGCTAACGAGATTATGGAAGTGAGATGCAAGCATTGTTGCAAACAGCTTTTTAAGGGAAATTCTATGTTGCTTAACGCACATCATAAAATAAAACAGCATCCGACGGACGTGGGATGTAAAACAGATGAATACGATTGCTGCTCGTACATGACTGTGGAAAAAGTGCCAGATTGGATTTTGGGCATCATTGAACAAGTATATCCTTATATATCAAACTTTGTAAAATATATAATATACATGCATGAGATACGGTTGAAAATAATTTTTTTTTATAGAAATGCTGGACTAAGGGGAAACTATATTGTCCACATTGCAACAGTCGTTTAGGAACTTTCAATTTTGTAAATGATTTGAAGTGTTACTGCGATGAGCATGTAAGACCTCCTATAAGATTAGTTAATAGTAAGTTAGACATCTTATATGAAACTGTCAAACAATAGCTAATATTAATAAAATGTGATTTTCTATATTAATTATAATTAATATATATTTGAAACTATACATGAAATTATATAGAAAAAAAAATATATATATATAAAAGAAAATTAATTCTCTCTTGTGACATTTATATTATTGATAATTTTATTATTTTAATTATATCTAAGAATTATTTTTTTAATTACTACTATTAGACTAAATAATTTTCTTTACAAGATTGCAATGTGTAATATAACAAAAAGATCTGTTACCGTAATTTATTCTTCTCATTTGACTTCTCTATTTACATAATTTATATATAATATTTAATTACATCTTTTTCAACTTAGGTACATTGTGATTATTTATATATAATGATGATGATAATCCATCACAAAAACTATATATTAGCTTACAACATCTCTATGTATAGTTTTTACATGGTGCTGGTATATATTAATTACAAATAACATTGTCAACTAGTATTACATTCTATGAACTATATGTACAGTGTAAAGTACAAGATATCAGGATAGATTATGTACAAAATTCTAGACAATACATTTTTTATGATGTACAATGTATATCAAGTGTAGATGGAAGTGTATATTACAAAAATTTACTACTAATTTTTCTATTTTGTAAATTATATAATTTATAATAAATTTATATATAAGAGAAAAGTTGTTGATATTCACAATATCGAAAGCTTTTACATTTTTTATATTTTTATGCAAATATTTAATTAAAAACTTATCGTTTTATCCTCTAACTTATAATAAAATAACAACTAGCTGTAACAAGTAAATGCGCACATAATGGGTATATGTCTAGAAGAATGCTTAATTAAAGATTAATGTTAAAGGGACTAATATCGGCTGTTCTGCCCCTTTACATAAATTTTTTATTTGTAATAATCTATTCTGAAAATTTTGTAAATAATAATATATGTATATACGCGTAATATTACAAAAATGTTGTGTAAATAACATAAATCTTCTTTCACCATTACAAAAAAAATAGTAAATACTTTTAGCGACAATTCAAGGCAATTCATTTAATTAAGAAAATTAAATATCTATTATTATAACAGTTATAAGTATAATAATTCATTTAAGAAATCGCATTTAAAAACAGGAATAGCTACATTTTACTTATATTCGCAGTTATGAATTATCCATCAGTAGCTATTTTTTCTAATATTGCCAATGTTTCCGATTTCTATCGAATTCCCAGTTGATTCATCACAATGGTTAGAAAAATCAAGAGAGAAAAAAGAAAAAAAAGCCCTCGGAAATGTATGTCAATTTTTACATGGATTAATCAAACAAAACTGGAGCATCAAGGAAACCCATAACATAACATAAACTTGTATCCAAGGCACATATGGTTTGCTAAGCAATATTATGTAAAACAGTTTTAGCGCTACATTCGAACAGTATAAAAGTTAGTTGATCCACTCTTTATGATATCATACGACGAATAAAGTCGAGACACGATGACGTAAGTGTTATTTCAAATGTAACATTCGAAGTAACCACAAAGAGAGGGGGGGGGGGAGGGGCGGCACAAGATCAATCGTTCAATAGCGAAAGTCGGGGAAAAGGCGATTCTATACAATTAAATTACATACTGGATCAACCAACATGTCGGACGTGAGAAACAACCTCCTATTCGCATTGATATACAGTACATCCTTTCCTACAAGCTTTTAACAGTCAAGACACTCAGGATATCTATTACAGTCCAATAAAGCTTAGCTGCTACAACTGGAACATCTCATCTTGCTGCTGTTCAAGTCTTTGTAAGGAAGTCTTCACTCTTCTTCCTTGCGTCATAACTACAGCAGTCGGAAAGTTATGCATATCACTAGAAGACGCGGGCCTGACGGGATCAACGGAAGGGCTGTTCGATGTGGCGGGATGCGAGTTTCGTAATTTAGTAGATGCACGACGCCGTTGTACGTAAACGTCGTTGCCATCGGCACAAAATCTGCAATAAAACAATTTGCTGATGAGTGTGCGCTACTTGAGGTCTGTAGGTAGTGATGTAACGCGCTTTGGTTCGAATGGATTGGTGAGCGTTTCACGAAAAATCTCTGCAAAAACTGACATCTCTAAATCACGGGTTATATCAAACTATTCGATAACTTAACATGTAAGTCTCGAGCGCATGTGAATTCCACTGGATACACGTAAAGCGCAGAAAAAATAACTTACTCACTGTTCCCTTGAGCACGTTTGACTTCTCTCTTGACATTGGCTATCGAAGTATCCATCTTAGCTAAGAAATCGTTAACCGAACTCTCATCGTCGATGGACGATGATATCGAAGAAGGACTAGATATCTACAAAATACAATGCACACGTTCATAAAAGTACCTTATCTTTTTTAAGGTTTCTTTTCCTATTTCTGCAGGAGTTCAGATTGATGGTGCCAGAAACAAGAAAACGCATACCAAGGATTTTTTATGTGTCATTTTATGTTTGATGTTCATTTTCAAATGAAAAGATATTTACATGAAAGAACACTTAAGATCACTTTAGCATACTTGTAAAATATTCCAAAAACTATCCTTTTCCTCTTGACAGCCAATAAAGAGCCTTAAAATTAATGTAACATGCAATCTTCCTCTTGAACTTACTTTTCCTTGTGATCAAGTTGATTTTCAGGACCACTATTTATTGACTGCTAAAGGAAAAGTATAGTTTATGAAATATTTTACAAGTATGCTCAAGCAATCTCAAGTGTTTTTTTTTCATACAAAAATCCTTTTACTTGAAAATGGCATATATTTTCTCATTTTTCTGACATCATTAATCTAAGGTAGCAATGGGATCAGATACTTTAATACAAAGTACAGTTAAACCTTGTGTTAAACTCTATGACTTTTAAAATTTTACTTACATTTGGAGGTACCTCGTGTTCCTCAGAAGCTACCATTGACTCATCGTTACATACAGAGGCAGGACTGTCAGCGCTTACAGGAATAAGCAAGTGTTCTCGTAAAAATAAACTATCGGATGCCCATAATCTATTGACCCTCCTTATTTGTTCTGTCTGCAAGAATTTGATGAGACGATATCCATCAGGTGATGAGCGATGGATATCACATAGATAATGTGTTATCAAGCAGCGTGAGATAACCCAAGATCAAGTGCAAGACAGAGAAATGAAAGTACAACTAGTACGGATAAGTCGTACCGTAACACCATACTTGAGAGCAATTCCCTGCAAAGTGTCCGTGGCAGACACTATATGCTTCACCAAACTCTCGGTCCGCGTCATGTGCTTAGCTGTACTTCCGTACTTCTTCAGGGTCTTGCCGGTGTCACGAATGCACCTGCGTTCCTCCATCTCTCTGGCGCCGTTCCGCTCCATTGTCGTAGGCCTTCAAAGCGATGACACTCGCCAGAGGACAGAACACACCATAACCAGTCGACGCTTGTCCCAGAGATCGCGGAGGTTCCGTGTCATTCCATAGTCGCGTTCTCACATAACCTGGCGAAGAATTTTCAAAAACTTTTAGTCGTTTCACGGGCGCGGATTTCTCGACGAGCCGAGGCGACTAACGTCGGAAATTCACGTTATTTCACCGATTCGCTCGCATCACACCTCGTCTCTCACGTCTCTCCCGTGATACATGCGCTCGAGGATGGCGATGATGGTGATAATGACTCGAGAAGTTAACACTTACGAAGCAGGTGCGGGCAACAACAACGAGCGATTTAGGAGGCTGGAAGCGCTATTATCGTGTTTGGAGGAGCGTGCACGCGTGTGCCAAGTTTCGTCATTGCACCGAGATCATTGAAAAGCCTCGACGTTCTCCCATGGTGCTCGACACAGGAGGAATGAATATCACGCGAGTGTGTCACTAGTATACCGTATACCTCACACACACACGCGCACACGTATAGCTCGTGTCGTGTGCGGCCGGATCGGCGCGGACGCGACGGCCGATGGAATATTTTACAGATACGTACTCTTTTTTTCATTATAGCGGATTGTCCATTAAGAAGACATCGTGCGCTGCGTACAAAATCGTTATCGAATCCGGCAGTCGCGAAAGGACGCGATTGTCATGACGATAGCGATTTCAAAGGGTCCTCGCGCAAAGCACGAGAAAGGAGATGAATTTCGGATGCTTCTCGCGGACGCGACTTCTTCGATGGAATTAATCCGGAGAGATTATCCTTCTCTCACATGAAGGAGCGACTCTCAAGACACGCCTGGCGCTTGGTATCACGTGTGATTGCATAAAAAAAGAGCGCGACGCGATCATATGACCACGCGCGTAACTTTTGGCGGAGAAACGCATTTGCGACCACTTTCACCATGACGGACATGGTATTTGCGCGAGAAATAGAAACCTATAGCTTTGAGCTTAGGGATTAGAACATTTTGAACTCGGATACAAATCTTGTGGGTTTGTGTAAAATAAGAAAATAATGGAATGAGATTTTAATAAAAAAATGTTCATTATAATATACGTTACACAGTTATCTATTTTTAAATACAATATATTACAGAGAAACACACACAATTATAATTTATTGTTATTATGTCTATTATAATTACCTTACGATTAATAGTATTATTATTATGTTATCATTACTATGTGCTAGCCTCGATGAATATATAAGGCAGCAGGAAAAATTATGTGTAATGGGAGACTAATTAATGCATGTATTTTTTTGTTTATTAGAGCAACTTTATCGTCGATTATTACGATTGTATTTAATCCCCAGTAGCTGTGCAACAGTAACGGCGATATTGGTAATAAATAGTTAACGTAAGGATAAATATTACGCTACCGCGGCAGTGTATACTTCCTGGATTCTGGGTAAAGGGGCTTGTTCCTCTAATTATCAGGACTATATCGGCTAATATTCTACATGATAGACCCCCTTCCCGCTATTCCAAATAGTATGGCTACTTAATGATGATAACACATCAACAAGCAGCGTTTATAATTATTTAAAATTATTATTTTTTCCATAAACTGTGTCACAGATAAGAAGTTACGGATAAACTTGTTTTTATCTTTATGAATACCTATACGATCGCGATTTGATTTCCTTATAAACCCTTTCTCGTAAAGTAAATGATAGGAGAACGATCAAAGAGTTACAACAAAATTGGAAGTGTGGACACATAAAAGTTAAGGCTATCTAGAAAAGAATACGAGTACAAAAACTGTTCCGTTTGATGTAATAGTAGAAACCATTATTTTGATGCGAGTGTATCTCGATTTACATTTCACACAAACACTTTGGCGAGAGCGTCGGCGCCTGCGCTCGCTATAAACGGTCGTGATGGGTGGAACGCTACGTCTAGAATACTTTCGTCGAACTTCTTCCGATGCGCTGTTATCTCCTGAACACAAGTCTTGTTGTCCATGTTCCATAATCTTATACTGCAATCATGACCTGTGCAATAACGAATATAGAGTTAGAAAATAGATGAATGGTACTATCTTTGAATACATAATTGTGTGTGTGTGTATTAAGACTCAGATCAAGATTTCAACAAATTGTATCATCAATATGCCAAATTATACCAATAGATCTTCTTGATCAATCCGCGATATTATACATAAACTTTTTCACACTTACTTCCTGAAAGTAAGTATAGACCATGAGGATCTACAGCAAGACTAGTAACCGCGTCCAAGTGTGCTACCATCGCGTGAGCGAGAGTGGCTGACCGGTGATCATAGAATCGAATATGCCGATCCTCGTGTGCGGCCACAACAAGCGGTAACGTCGGATGTGCTACAACGCGATTCACACCCTTCGTTTCATTTGCCTCGAGTCGCGCCACGATCGCACCGGTCTCGGTATCAAATATCACGCAAGCTCCTTCGTAAGCCACAACCAACTTGTGCGGCTCGTCCCTGATGAAGTCAACTGAAGTCGGTATGCCGTCTATAAAAAGAAAAATAAAAGGAAAATATTAGAAAGATCGTGTCGCAAAAATTGCAATCGCCTATGGACATGCGACACAGAGAGGAAACTTACAACCAATCGATATTTGCTAGATAAAGTTCTGCAAACTTGAGATAATTCTCATGTTATTTTGATACAATTAGTGTTATAATTGGCTAATTATTGTCAGAGTTGGGCATTGTTCGAATAAATTTCAAAATTTTACCTTACTTGTCCTATAAGCATATTTGGGACTAAATTGTAACGAGTAAAAAGTAAAATTTTATTCGAATAAATTTTAGTGCGAATATAAAAATGAACGGAGAAATTATTCATTCGCTAATAAATTTAATTTTGAATAAAATTTTATTATCTTTAAACCATTATACAAAATCACACGTCTGTCCAACTCCGGTCGTTATTTCGCATCGCGCGTCGACGCAGAGTTTAATTCGCACATGTTGAATAACGTTTACTTACCTTGTTCTGAGACATATGTATTGAGAAGAGGTACCGATGCTTGTGGTGCCCATAACTTTACAGTTCCGTCCGAGCTAAACGATAACATAGTAGGACGTAAATGATACATGCTCAAGCCCCAAACAGCATTTGTGTGCCCCGTTAACGTATGATTAAGAACACTTGGTTCATACGAGTCGTATGGGTCGATGTTAGCCGATGGTAGTGTCCAACAATGGATCATGCCATCTAAACCACCGCTGTAACATCGATTGCCCGTACTACACATGGCTAAACACAATACAGGTCCAGTATGTGATCTGAATGTGTAAAGTGGTTCTACATCTAACGAAGCTGACCTGAAAAAGTGTTAAACACAGTGTTAAAACACAGATAAGATAATGATATAAAGTATTTTCGAGATATAAAGTTACGATTTGTATATTAATTATTTTCGTAACATTATTCGAGATAGAATTTACTTTTTTGCCGGTACAGTCTTATGAAGATTCCACAACTTCAATGTGTGATCATCGCTTGCGGTGATGAGAACCGGATCTGTGGGGTGGAAGACGAGTGCTCTAACAGCGTCAAAATGCGAACGTAATGTATACTTTGCGTTCCATGTTTTTCTGAAAGTTTCCTTTGTGGTGGAAACCATCTGTTAAGGAAAATAACGCGTCGAATAGATTAATTATACATTTCGTCGCTGAACATGTGACTCGATTGAAATATAGGGAAAAATTCTTAAAACTTACATCATATGATATTTCTGCATCATTGTTAACACATAATTGTTCTAATTCTCCTAATTCCAGTGTGGAATCACCACCTTCTTTATTGTTTGGGCGTCTTGGATCTTGTTGTAATCCTCTGTGTAATAAATCTACAGACACCGTTAGATTTTGTGATTGTAAAATGTGATTATAGTAAAATATCTATTACTACAATAGGTACATTTCACCTTAAATATATGAATTAACAATATATGATTTACTAACCCCATTTTGAAGAATTCATTTCCAGGTGAATAGAACCAGGTGGCGATTCCTCAATTTCTGTGAGGAGATTTAATTCATTTAATACTTCTTCTGCCTCCGCATCTGTATCAACATCTTCCGCTAGAAGGGGGATAGATGCCTGAAAAATAGATCATGTTAGTAAAGAATGATAGCAAGATCATATTAAAGTATAATAATAATAATAAATTTATTAATTATTTATTATTAATAATAACATTAATTAATAACATTACTTTATTTGGTTTAGTGTCCGTATTTGCATCATAAATTTCATCCTCCCCATCTCCCTCTTCCTCTTCCATGTCCATATCTGTGTGTCCCAAAAACTCAAAATTCGCTATAACAGCTGCTTCTGTATCTAATATCATTGCTTCTGCTATAGAAGATGGCTTTTGCTGAAACAGAAGAACATATAAGTGCGTAATAAAATTGTAACTATCGTTAACGCGAGTTAAATCCCTTGATTGAATTCGAAAATTGATTTAAAAAGATAGACACGTTTGTTTATCTCTACCTTTCTCCTTTTTTGGTTGTTCTGCAGGCACATAAGATCATCGGATGATTCTTGTCTCTCCCGTGTTCCTTCATTTCCATTTAATGCTGGAGTATTCATTTCATCTGAGTCTGTATTATTATTTAAACCAAGCAGTGATCGTACTCTGTTTGACCGTACATCTATAATTGTGTCAGTATACCCAATTTCTTGTAAATATCTACAATAAAATACAATTTTTTTATATCCTAGACTTGTACACAATGAAATCAGACATTTGCATTTCTTGCTACATTCCTATATGATGCACTAAAATTGATCAAGAGTGCCTTTTTCCAAATTCTGATTAATCTAATCAATGATTAATTGGTGAACAGAGTTACCAACTAAAATTTTTAACTTTTTTCTCTATTTTTTTCTACTGTCTATTTTCTCTCTATTTTCAGTAATTTCAGTTAGTAATTCTACCAGTTAATTCTCAATTAGGTTATATAATCAAAGTTAAAAAAAAACTCATCTTAAATCATAAAGAAAGCTGCCACTAATAATCAAAGGACAATATCTCCAAAATTAAAACTGATGTTTTACATACTGCCTTAGAAGTTGACGACCTTGTCTCCAACTAACATTACTGACAGATGTAAATGAAGCTTCTCCATCTCCTCCTCCCCCTCCTTCTCCTGTTCCTCCTCCACCACCACCACCACCTTCAGAGACATTGCATGTGGTACCTTCTTCGTAAAGAGGTGGTTTAACATCTCCTTGCATTACCAAGTCGGTACCATATTTTAGTTTATGATACCTTGCTCTATATAAGTTATGAGAAACATTACCATGAAATTAATACATCATAAATAATTGTCATAAATGTCCTAATGTTATTAAATACAATAGTATTGATTCAATAACATTAATATCTAAATTAGGTACACAGCAACTTCACAATAATAAATACCAATGAAATCCATTTGACACTTCATATTTAAATGAATTTAGGAAAAAAAATACAGTTTATAAACAAAATATTCTAATATACTTTTCAAACAAATAAAAGTATAATTATATAACTTCTCAAGTAAATTATATTGATATAGAAATGATAAAATATTGAGTATTCGATATTATGTGTATAATTCAAGATTTAAATATTTTATCTTAAACTAACAAGAATATTATCTACTTATATAAAATTGCCACATAATGAATAAACAGTTGTTGATTTACTATTTACCTTTCTTGCTTAAGTGCATACTCTAACATTTTTATTCGCCTCACTAGGTCATTCTTCAAATTTTCTTGTCCTTTTCTTTCACCTTGAAGAAAAGCTATCCTAGCCTGTATGACAAAGTACCAAATTAAATCAATGTCAGCATTAGGTTACCTCATAATGACACTGATGTTCTTATCAAATATTACATCAACGACCATTATATATACATATGCAATTGTTCCTATTACATATAAATATATAAACAATATCTTTTATTGGTATGTTCGAATAGCTCGAACATCAAAAGAAAGTACTCTTCGCTTTTAACAGCATGTTAGATCGAAGGCAGCATTTTTACAAACGTGCATACACTGAAATTATTAAATTCACACTACTGACACATCCTATCGCGGATATCAGCGCTGTCTCAGTCTGTATTTGTCGGACCTTATGTGTTCCTTCATCCTTCTGTCACATGACAGCTGAGATGACAAGCAAGATGGATAATTGTCGCGCGCCCGTTCGCGGACGGCTCGTGCATTCCACGTACGCCGGAGTCGTAGAGCGTACCTGAAATTCCGCCCTGTCCAATTCCCACTGAGACCTCTCGAGCTCGAAGCGGGCCCACTCGTGCTGAATGAAATGCAGGATACCAGGCATTGAGTACTGCGGCCGTTGATCCTTGGCGTCGCCGTTGCTGCCATTGTCACTGCCCTGGATCGTTTTGTTCACGAGGGAGACGTTCGCGCCGCTGGACAACTGACCGTTGTGATTCTGGGACGCGGGGTTGCAGCTATCCTCCATTGTGGCACCACAAAACTGGCTCGGCACCTTCATTTCATGACACGGCGGCCATTACAGCAACTTCCCTTTCTTCGCCGAGTACCCCGAGAGCGCTCTCCGGTCGGACAATGTATTTCGATCGGGCGAGTCGGAAAAGGAGACAATTATTACGCATGCGGACGCGTCCGGCGCATATGTGCGAGTCTCTCGCGCGAGGAAAAAAACCCGCAGGCTCTCTGCTACAAAGCTCCCAGCCCCGTGCACGTCGCTGCTCTCGCGATGCTCTCTTCCGGAAAAAAGCGAAGGAGAGGCGGAATCGCGCGTTGTTTCCTCTCTACTACTGCGTCGGCCCTCGTCCGCCTCGCCGCACGTCAACGGGTCAACGGGTGAAAGTTATCGCGCGGCATGCCTCACAGACAGCTGCAGCAGCAAGTTCGTGCACCGTTCGCGACCGTACAGGTCCGCGCGCATCATCCACCAAATTTACAAATGATCTGACCTTTGTCGGCGATCACACCGGCGACAGTCGCCTACCCTCGCGCGGCCGTCCGTTCGTCGGGAGCCGATCGCCCGTTTGTTTTCCTAGTCCTGCTACGCGGCGCGTTATACGCTTCACGTCGTCTTTTATTGGCCCGCCCGTCTAGTTACGAGCTGTCCCGTTTCGCCGCTGACGCGCGCAGACTCGCTTCATTCATCCGCGCCACGCCGCGATCTCGGTGTGGACCAATAATGTGATGTTGGCGCGCGCGTTCGCCGCGCGAGAGCGCGCACCTCAAGCCGTGTGTATCGGACCTAAGATCGCCATACTCCCGCAAGACATACTGGCGTTGCGTCACAACGATCAACAGATTTCGATCTAACGACAGCTAGATCACCTGCTGCTTGAATGAGGTTTCGTTTCGTAATCGAGTAACAACTGACACCCGCTCCCGTGGTAATTCATACTGGAATAATATTTCTTATTTAAAATATGCGGCTTGTCGAGACGCATGCGTAGATTCGCGTTGCTCCACAAGGTGTATCCTCTTCGTACAGTCTTCACCAAAAAATACTAATTGAACTGATTTTCCGATGATAAGTTCATTAGCTCGTTATAATTTTCGAGTAAGATTTTACAGAGACTTTATCGTGATTTACGTAAATAGCATAAATCTCACGCGTCGTTTGTTGCGTTTGCAACGCTTATGAATTTATAATGGTTATCGTTCAAAGTCTCGCGAGAAAATTAATCGCAATTTTATTAGAACTTAAATTAAATTCGCGATGTATAGATACAAAATAATTATTTCGTAGTTCGATTCTTCGATTTTGCGATACTGCTGCGCGGCGGATAATGTTATCTCGATTCACATTCTATTGTGCGTTACATTACTATTTTTATATGTTTAATGTAAAATGAAAAGGGGTTATTTCCGTAAATGGAAAGGTCACTTCACCTACACATCGGAAAAGCCTGTAAATGTCGTTACGCTTGGAGCGCTCAGGAATCTAAGTTCGCAATTGCGCCAAGCAGGAGTACACGCACTATGAATCGTTCAGTATCGATTTCAACGATCCAAGATATAAAAAATGTTATAAAAAATAGAATCCTTTCGTTTACTCGAGAACTGTGTCATAAAGAGCTAATATAATCTTTGTTTTGCCATCTATTGTGTTATATTTGTTTACACATATACACACACACACACACACACATACACAGCTAGGCGAAATAACGTGTTATCTCGGATATTTATATATCCTTTTTATGTAGCGTAATGTATCTCAATTTATAATTATTTGATTTAATTTGCACTTTTTTTTACAACTATAAGAATTGTCTATCTGCATTATTAGTCAGTATTATTGATTAACTATTTAATCACTGATGCGTCCGCTGAATCTTACGATAATGTAAGCCGAGATTAAAATTAATAGTAGATAAGGAAATAGTCGTTGTTGGATTTTAAACATTATTTTATTTATCGTCTCAATATCTTTGTTATTACAACACTGCTTTGTAAATCAGAAATTGTGTGAAATAATTACACGTACATAATTAACATAATTTACTGTATATAAATATTTACACGCATACAACAAATGTATATACATACACATAACAATTCCACTAAGATAGTACAAATACTTACATCGCAGATGCAACGACGAGATTTGTGACACGAAACGGCGACCACACTACTTCCGTGAACAGAAAAACAAAACGGTAATAAGCGGGACAACAGTTTTGAAGAGTCTCGAAGGTTTTTCATAAAAGTTGAAAAATGGAAACTTTGGACATCTTTGCACATAAAACATTCACATATAGAAGCGACTTAACCACGAAACGCCTCTTCGCCAGTGTCAATTGGCAGCACTATGTCAATACATTTCGTAAGTAACTACTGTGACTTCTGAATAATAATCTTTAACGATAACAGATCGTGATAATAACAGTATGACAATGACAATGATGAAAATTTTTATTTCTATCGTAAAACGACTTCAAACGATTTAATCTCGCGTAACAATAGCATTGAATATTGTTGAAAATTAAAAATTCTCGGATGAAAAGCGGAAAAATTTTGAAGATTAAAATACCTAAAAAATTTTTTAGAGTTTTGAATATCTACACAATAATAATACTAATATATAAACTTAAACTAATATATAAATTTAAACACGTAGTTATCAGATAGTTACATAATTACACGTATTAATCTTGTGTTAATAGCTAACTTTGTCGAGATGCTGAGCACATTCGAGACTTTGAGAGCAAGAGAATTGCAGGTCTTCCTAGAATTTTAAATTTTAGACAATAGCTGAGATGAGTCGTTATTTTCATCTTAAACTTGAAAAAGGATCCGACGTTTCTTGAGCCCATTACTACGCAATCTTTTTGCATTAATTTCATGGTACTTACGAAGTTCGCATTAACAACCGGCTTGCACGTGTCGGGAGCTCGTGTGTCAGCTGTAACGAGAAGAATACTCGCGACGTGAACTTCTTGTTGAAAGAAAGGAAGAAAAAGACAAATGCGGTTGTGCTAAAATTATTAGTCGAAGCATTTAGGCATAACGGCGCATGCGCAGTGGGCGAGGTTACGTATAGACAAAATACGTACGTCGATAACTTTTACACATACCTGTTGCACCAATAATTTCCAAGTTGCAACAATTTTCAATTTTCAACCTTGTCTGTCGTAGACCTTGGACCGGCCATGTATTCTCGATTTCTCGCTATTTCGCCAGCGTTTCCGAAGTTGATGCGACACAACGGAGGTGGGGCGCTCGAGCGGTAGAACTGGCAACCTCGCTTCAGAGTTTCGCTTGTTTAGTTTGCGATGTTGCTCGTTGATGGGGTATCAAAACGTGAGATATCTCCGTTTCTCTGACATTATTCGTAAATATAATCTGTTTTCACGCATCGTCGAGTGTATGCACCACTGCTCCAAGCTTATCCACGCAATATCCTCACGTAAGTTTATCAATTGGCATCATTATAATCCTCCTATACGGGCTGGGATCTGCACAATTTCCTCACATGCAATCATCATAGGTCCCCGATTGTTAGTGCCGGCGATCATTTCATCGAAGTTGTTTCAGTGGATTATCCCGTTTGGGAATTTTGATCTGTTGGTATTTTTTAGATTGCTTGGAGGTTATGTATTTTCGAGTCATTAAAAACTTATTGTACAGCAAGTTCCTAACCTAACCCAACCTAACCTAGTTAAATCCTGATCTACCTTACTTTTTTCGGAAAAAATAACACGATAAATTATATAATTTATGATACTTCAAATTGGGCCTTAAGGCCCAAATTGCCGCGGGCATCTACTGTTGCTATAGAGATGTATCAACACAACAAAAGCCTCCATTTTAGATACCATCCTACGCCATTTTGTTGTTTCTTCTAAACTGCATGTAATGCGTAATTTTATTAATTTTGGATCTATGTACTACATTCTTTATTGCATGAAACTCAATTAACTCGCTAGATTGTAATACTAGTACCAGAAATCAATAACATACCCATTCGCAATTCCGTGAACTTATATGTGTTCCGTGTCAATATATCGACGTAATTTATAATGTTTTCTGTAGCTAGATCTATAGCCGACCACTACTAAACGATATTTATCACCGAATTCATCTCAATTGTCTTCTAAAATCTTTGTTAAACATCGTAAATTATTGTGTTGTTACTTGTCGGTAATATAATGGCGAAATACGACCAATCGATCCGGCTGTCTAATAAAAAATTAATTAATTTGTCTGAATTACGAGTACTAATTGTGCCTTATCATAAATTTACAGTTATATTTGTTTTTACATGAATATTGATGTACAATTAAAATGAAAAATTTTTTAATTTTTTCAAACAAATTTATTACATTTGACAAATTTTCATAGATATTTTATAGTACATATAATAATAAATTTTTTGGTAATCTTACTTATATATGTATATATATATTAGGTTCTCTTACATTTGAAACAAAGTATATTTAAGCTATCAAACTTTTTGAACACAAAAAATGACCAAACAGAATATATATTTGCGACAAAATAGAAGAGGCACAATTTGGTGTGATTTAATAATATTATTGTTTGATGCATTATCAATTTATCTCATTAAGCTAAATATAGCAACAGATGGCGCTGCATGTTCAATTTACGTGTCATCCAGAAAATACAAACTACAAATAAACACACTTTACACACATCTTTTAGGTTTTTATAAACTCTCATTGCATCTTAATATATCTTTAATTCTCGACAATATCTATTGATTTACTGTAGTTCGATTCTAATTCTTCGAACGCCACTTATTGATTGCGTTCCTTGAATTACTTGTTTTCTTATATTACATTTGACGTAAATATCAAGTATACTAATCAAATGGCGTAAATATATCAAGTATACTAATCAAATGATCAAAAATTTCTAAAGATTGTTGAAAAATCAATATTATTATCGCGCGAAATAATATGTATCGTCATATTTAATATCGTTGTTCGAAAATATTAGTATAGCAGAGAAATTCGCGTGTGAAAAACTGACAAAAATATTCATGCTTATATATTTCGAAGCATTAGTTTGTAGCTTCGGAATTATGAGAAGCGTAGCTACTCAAACGTTCGTCCAATCGCAGGCCGCGGTTGCACCGAACCTGTCTGTATCGTCGCGCGCATCTTTGTGTTGGTGACCGCTCACTTCTCGCGCCATACCGACGCTGGGAGTAGGCGAAAAACACTGCGTGTGCGCGACTGATAGACAGCGACAACCGTTGCCACGATCCATTGTCAGCGACATTTTCGAATAGGTGAGTTCAAAAACTCTTGTTCGAAATTAAAAGATAGTAGAGGTACTTGTATTATACTTTTGCTATAAGTTTTGCTATAACGATCGCGAGTGCTTGGAGAATATTATATCTCCTAGTAAACCATATGAAACAGTTGCGGGTAAATTGTTTTGTTAGTTCTTCCGTTACAAAAAATAGCAGTTTAAAATGCAAAATGGCGGCAGGGCCGTAATCAGGAGTTTCTAATGACCGTGAAAGTACATAAAATGTTAAATTGGGTTCGGTCAGACTTATAGGTTAGGATTCTCCAAAACATTTGAGCCAGAGGCGCCACCTTTGTATTGACTAGTAGAGCTTGTATTTTTTTTATTCCAACTTTCACGATTTTTTTTAATTACAATTGCAGATGCATGTTATTTTTGTAGTAATCAGTAATTCGTAACTTGTATAAAAATACCATCTCACAGATTCTCAATTTATTGATTGGTCAGTTTTCTCCTCCTCTTAAATTTCGTTAGTGAGATGACGCCAGTATAATTTTTCACGGTACACAAAAGAAATAATGAACATAATGAAATATTTTTACACTACAAAAGTTATTGAAGATTTTTTAATTAGTTTTTAGTATAATGCCCAGACAGCATAAAATCTCCTGAGGACAAAGAATGTCCTCAGGACTTCCTCAGGATATACTCTGGATGTCCCCTGGACATCTGTGCTGTAGGGTATAATCTTTATATGTACACACACACATACACACACACACACACACGCACACGCACGCACGCACACGCGCGCGTATATGGGCCCATATATATACACATACATATATATATACATATATATATACATACATATATATATATACACATATATATATATATATATACATATATACATATATACATATTTATATATATGGATTTATATACATATGTATGTATATATATGGATGAACCAATAAATTTATTGCATCAGTTTAAAAATTTTTGTCGATGATTATATATACTCAAATATATATACTCAAATATATATTTTGTAATAACTGCTCTCAATTGAATTAAATAAGCGAAACGAATCATGAAACGTACATAATTAAGAACCGGTATCTCCATTAAGATTGTGCGCGCAAATATTTATTAACTTACAATGTCATGAAGGAATTTAGTTGCATTGGGTCATGATGAAAATATATACATGCCAACCTCGATAATCGATTGAACACGTAAGAGTACGAATACATTGATAGACAGCTAGTGGAAAAACGCGTATGGTCGATCGTTTGTTAAGATCGAAAGTGCATAACTCATATCGCTGCCGAGCGTCGGATTTAAGATCGAAGCGAAGCAACGAAATCGATCGTTTTGCAACACTCGACAAAGAGAACTGCGCTATTTCTCCCACTATAGTGACAGTTGTTGCTGCTTTGGCACACACTAAGCCTGCTATTGGTGCATCGGATAAAAAGGGTGGGGAGAACACTGCTCATCAGTCGCTCAATAAAACGAATTCGCGATGCAAAGGTTCTATATATATTACAAGTCGTATGAACAAAATGGCCGTGTATTGGCCATGTATGTCATTAAAAAAATATATCGATTGCAGATCAGGCCCGATTTAAACGAGGGGCATACCGCGTATATATGAACGGATGACTGACCCGCACAAAAGAAAACATTTGGTCGGATAAACCAAATTTCTCGTGAAATAAGAATTAGAAAATTTTGATTGATGTTATGTTCAAGTTAACCAGAAATCTTATTAAGTTTGTTCGTTTTCGAAAAACTTCTGAATTAGTACAATAGAGTGAAAAAAAAAAATTTGTTTTATACTCTAACTTATTATTACGTTAGTGCGAAAGTTCTTCGAAAACGAACGTTAACTTTTGAATAGAATTCTGGTAATTTCAACCAGAATTTTTTGTTCATTTACATTTCACCAGAAGTTTGGTTAATTCAACGAAATTTTTTTTCCGTGCGTAATACGAAATAATCGTGCGAGCGTGCAGCCAGACACGCGAGAATCAGACACAATCGATAAAACACATCGCCAGTCGAGTGCCCGTTTTATATAGATAAATGAAATTAAAATCCGAAACCAAATGCGAGAAGACTGGGAAATTGAAAATTGAGCGAATCCGATCGTCACGTTGACAAAAAAAAAGAGAGGGACGATCGTGAGTTATATGTCGTCAGTGCATTTTGATATTTCTCCGGACAGATAAAGTGCGGGATCACGGATAATGATCGCCGATGTGATTCTGGATCTGTGCCTCTTAGAGGGAACAAAGATTCCTGCGTCCGCGCAACGAGCCGCGATGTCGGTTTGTGCCGGCATTTTCCGACGCTTCGTAAGCGTTCGGCCATCTTCGGGACGAATGTCGGGGCCTAAATGCGGTGTGCCTCGCGCTCGATGCGCAAACCTGTCCTGTCGACGACATATACCGACGTCATGCGGTTCGCGCGGTACCTTTAATTCGCGTTCGCGACATTTGAAGATCCCGCGACTTGTAAAAAGACATGGGTAACGATACACGTGACGTGCCTGCGACCGTTCTGTAATTTGCGATCCGAGTGCCGTTGTCCGTTTCATCAAACACGTTGCTCACGGAGGAATGGAAGGGTTACACTTCTTGACAAGAGCGAATCCCGTGCGTCCTCGATCCTCGCGAACGCCTTCGACGCGAAATTAACGTGAAGCGTTTTCTCTTCTCTCTCTTTTTTGAGCGATACGATTTTTCAAAGTGACCATATTCATGCGAACAAATCGCTGACGAATCGTGACGAGATGAGATCTCTCGGATATCGTTGAGGTCGAACACACTGATGCGATCAATCTGCATGTCGATGATTTGCGAGGGCAACGTTGAGAATGACAAGCGAACAAGCTCGAGAATGAATAAGATCGACGGATCCGTCAAACGCGGGAGATACGTCGTCACGACCGCCATGGAGAATGCAACCTCAGACCGCCATCTTTTGCCACGATGTGCCAAATGGGCCAGCAGGCCTTTGATTCGCTAATAAAGGGGCCTGATGTATACGCAGCTCTCCATGCCCGTGATCGATACGCGCGACAATCCGTGCACGACGTTCGTTCTCGTTCACGGCTCACAAGCGCGGAAAACTGCTCCGCTTTAGCCGGGAAGCGTCGAACTTATGCGTCGGCACACACATCCAACAAAGTAGTGACCTCGCGCAGTGTGGGCATCGATCCAGAATGAGAGACGCGCGCGCGCATGCTTGTGTGTGTGTATGGTAGGCGTCGAAGGACGGTAGGGACGTTTTCCGTTGTGTAGATAAATCCTACAGATTGATCGACGCACAAATCAAGGACGATAAAAATAGTTGTTGAAATGTTAAATAAAAAAAAATAATGCCATGTCGCAAAAAAAAAAAGAGACTTGTAGAGGACGGAAAGATAGAAAATGTTGAATGTATGTACCTTGCGAAAAGAGGGTGGGGAGAGGTGGGGATAATTTTGAACGCGTATCCATTTTGAGCGCCATTGAACGAATTTCTGAGATCTTTTTTTCGTTTTTGTTTTCTCTCGGCGACACTTTGGCAAATGCGATTGTTAGTAGACATTTGTCTTACATAATTTTTATGTTATAAGCTTCATTTTATCTTTTAACGTGTCATTGTGACGATGCATGATAACAAATGTATCGCAAGTGCATTTCATGCGTCAAGTACGAAACTGTATGATTACATAATTACACATTTCTCAGTTCGATTTTGACCGCTCGCGCGTTGAGTATTAATTTTAAAAATAGTTTTTATTTACTTATAGATTGGAAAACATTTAATTGACAAGTTAAAGGAGCTGTGTCGTGAGATTTTATTGTACAATTTCATCATAATGGAAGCTGTACAAAATAAAACAGTGCATAATACAAAATCTAATTCTGCAGTCTCATGCATTAATGAGACTAACACCGATGGGTTGTCGAAGGAGAAAGATGAACTATTATTTGGTGCAGAAGAGGATGGTGAGGATGAAGATGCACTGTCCGATGACAGTTTGCGATTAAGGCTATCTGACGACGAGGATGCTGAACAAGAAGTTGTTACGAAAAACCATACGAATATTTCGGAATTTAAGTCGCCAAATAAAGACCCCGGTATGTAATTATAATTTGAAGGTATTCAATAATGTCGAAGACATTATTGAATAATTTTTTAACGAGTTTTTTTTTATTTTGTGTGCCCATTAAATAAATGAGGCTAATCCCTCCTGACCACTTCGTGTAAATAGAGTTATCAGTATAGTTGTGACCGCTGGAACGTATCCTTTCCAATGTTCTATATTTTGGTGTATATACTGTCGGTTTTTTTAATTTTACCGCCATTTTAAAGTAGCAGCGCTTTTGTAGCGCATGTCAATATATTTGGCATGAAACATATATGTCAGCACATAAAGATCGCGCGGAGGTAGCTATTTGAGTCGTTCGAGTCCTTCCAACCCACCCAACACAATGTCTAAGATCGAGACGCAACGTCTCAAAGACGTCTCTCGAACGTTGGAATATAAGACGTCTTATATTCCGACTTTAGACGTTGTGTTGTGTGAGAATAGTATGGGCGTTTCCTAAATGGTAGAAAATCACTGAAAGAGAGATGAATTCCGCACAGGCTGACCGGTTTCTATCCAATCCGATGAAAACGTGAAGAAAGGTCGTGTGATGCGATGTAGAACAAGCGAATATGCTGTCCACTGAACTTCTCGGCGGTCGGGTAGCTAGACAAAACTTGAAAAATGATCCACAAAGGAAGGAGATCTAGTTGAGATTTGTCCGACGACGGAACGAGAACACCGAGTTCCAATGGCATCGTCATCTCTCCGATCTTCCTGATCCATATTGTAATATAGTAATATAGTAATATCTCTATAGTGTGTAACATGTTGCACAAAATTAACTAGTGACGAGATTTGCTGTTTTTAATATGATTCTCAAACAAAAAGACAAAACATGAAGTAAATGTCTGATAAATTTTCCTCTGCAAATAAGAGTCAGGTTGCACAAATTGAATTATCAATCTCGAATTCGTACTCGAAAGTACCACAATGGACAGTCGTTATTATTTGGGAGTAATCCAACGTCTCTACAAACGCATGTACTGCATGGGAAATAAGCATTTTTGAAATAACAGTTGAATGCTGTTGCACAACTGTGTATTGAATGTGAAGTAGTTTTTTTTATTCCAAATTATTCTATGCGTTGTATTATTTCTTCTATTTTGTATTGATTAATGTTTTCTATTGTACGACAAATCAGTTATGTTCTAAAAGGAAAATATTTTGGGCGACATTAGCGATATTCAATACAGTACGATCAAATAACTGAAAGATGTGCATCGAGTGCATCAATTTCAGCGCACTTTTGAAATGATGCACAAACGATCTCAACGTTATGTTAAAGAGGGAAAGGACTATATTGAAAATAAAAAAATGTTTCGTAATAAAAATTCCGATATGTGTATACACACACACACACACACACACACACACACACACAC